CTGTCCCTGCACAGAGGGAGGAACGTGCTCCTGCACCCCACAAGTCCCTGTGAGGGATGTGCTCCTTCCCCAGCTCAACCTGGCTTTTCACAGGTAGCCTATTCAGGTGTTGACCACCAGTGACATTATCTGATCCTGGTAGTTGCCTCCCTGATTTCTTCCCCCACTCAGACATTAACCATCAAAAACAGTCCTGATGGCTGCATCTTGACGGGGAGATAAGGCTACTTGTGTATAGTGCATACACCAGTCAGAAGTCCTCTGACATGAAAGAATAACTACAAGTCAGTCATCTTCTCCCATAAATATGGGGACAGCCCGAGAGCCCATTGAGCTCTCCTTGCATCGCAGCAGGCTGCATGCCAGGGTCTCCCCTTGAGCAGGGAGGTCCCTCAAGGATAGTCCTCGGGCTTGAGAGATCCTTGCCACAACAGATTTGTGGTGAGTGACTACAGCTTGTGCTCTCTTTTGGAGCTTGTAAACTTTACTGTGTAACTGTAAATAAAGTCCCTTAGTCCTAAACTGTTGACCAGGTGTGGGAGTAGGACTGAATCCTGGCACATCCAAACTCCTCCAAGAAGGAGTCTGGAAAGCAAGGAGGTCCAATCTGAACCCCGTGACTCAACGGGAGGGTGTCCTTGGTAATTCAGTGTGTGTCTTGAACCTCCATGCAGTAAATAAGAAGTGACCTTGCCACAGAATCTCATGAAACCGTTGTCCATATCAGTGAAACTTATTACACTTTCTTTCACATGAGTGAAAAGCATTGTGTCAGTCACCTCCACCCCCACTCAACTCATTCTGTGACAACAGCCAAACAGGATCTCCCAGTGTGGCACAGAGAATCCTGCCTGGGGCTCTTCTGGGCAGCTCTGGCATCAGGAGAGTTCCCCTTGCTGCAGGAACGGGAACATCCCTGAGCGCAGGCCATGTCCACAGCCCCAAGGAAGGGGATGCTGCCCCTGGTCCACTGCTGGGTGCTGGTGGGCAGAATGGGGCAGGGGGAAGTCCTGGTGCCCGAGTGAGGAGCTGTGTTCAGTTTCCTGACCAGGGGCAGCTCTATCTGCTCTCCATGGCCCCTCTCCCACACATCTCGCGGGCATTTAGAGATGGGGACATCACCCAGAGGAGGGCACTTCCTCACCCCACTCATTCCTGCTGCTGGTATTGGGGACCAGTGTGATGTACAGAGCAGTGCTGCATGCTGTGCCACACATGGCTCAGGGAAGGGCTTTGCTCCTCTCCATCCACACTCCCCTGGCAGGGCAAGAGCAAGGGAGCAGCACCTACAGTGAGAGTCTCCTCCTGCCACACCAACTGTGGAGATGTTGAAGGGGGAGTGCTCCGTGGTGTGGCCTATGGTGAAGGATTGCATGGACCCCAGTCTGTGCTGATCAGAACCTGGATCCCTTTATTGATCAAGTGAACTTCTTATACACTAACACAACCTACTAGAGCCAATTAGCTTTCAGATTTCTGTCCTTGCAGATACCAGTAATCAGCTGGCCCTATGCAGTACCCAATAACTCTAAAGTAAGTTTTGCATGAGCACAGCAAAGGGAGGAACAGGATTTACTGCTCCTTCAAGGTCGTGGGACAGCGCTGTTCTGTCTGGAGCTCTACCATGTCCCGCTGTAGCCCTGGTCCAGATCCAGTCTCTCAGGGCACCAGGAGACAACTGTTTTCTGTCCTGTTGGGAGGGAGTGATCAGGTAGTAAAAACATCTTTCAGACAGAATGACAACCTCATCATTCTTTTTGGAAGTGCATAAAAAAATCCTGCTTTTGATTCTTGTTCCAAAACAA